TGCTGAGTCCAATAATACCATATAGCTCTGGAAAAGGCAAATCAAGGGGATCTATGACTATGACTTGCTAAAACGCTTCAGAAATGTTATGGCATTTTGTTTCCAAGAACACCTTAGCCAAATGATAGAAACACGCTAATGTTAGCTTATGTTTTGTTTGAAAAGATAGAGGATCCGTCAAAAGAAAGGTTTACGCTCCAAAATTTGGAAATTGTATTCGAATATTATGAAGGATGTTTAGTCTTTGGTAATAATTGGCTACAACACAAATGTTTCTCACTTTTATTTATATTCGAGCCGAAAACTAACCATCATCCGTTGTAGTCTAGATGGTTAGGATATTCGGCTCTCACCCGAAAGACCCGGGTTCGAGTCCCGGCAACGGAATTTTGCTTTTTTGGTTATGGGTTTCTCTACTCGCCATCCTTCCGCCTAACAACGGCGTCGTTGGCTTACTAAGTAGAGCACCGCCGCCGGTCAAATTATTTTTCCAACCCAATTATAGGATAAGAAGGGGCGGGGAAATGTGTTTTTGGTCATGGTTTCTTTACTCACTATCCTTCCTCTCAACAACGGCGTCGTTTTAGCTTACTAATTAGAGCACCGCCACCACTGCCCGGTTTAATTATTTTCCCAATCCAAATATAGGGAGAAAAGTGGGGGGAAAAAGTAAGTGAAAAAGAAGAAAACGAGGGAATTATTTTCTTTTCTCTGGCGAAGCAGATTTCTCTATGAAGATTCTGAATAAGTAGAGATTAACTGTTTCTTAGTTATTGGAATCATTGAATGTCAACGTTTTGAACTCTGGGAGGTACAAATTAACTAAGAGGGCCCTTGTTTCGATCACAAGAAGTTATATAATCTTTTGATTCCAGAAAAGGATATTGTTAGGGTTTGCAGTTGTGATTGACTAAGAGGAGGAGGATAAGGAGAAGTAAGAAAGATGGGAGAACGGAAGGTTCTGAACAAGTACTATCCGCCGGATTTCGATCCGGCGAAGATTCCACGGCGGAGGCAACCGAAGAACCAGCAGATGAAAGTTCGGATGATGCTTCCTATGAGTATTCGCTGTAATACGTGCGGCAACTATATTTACAAAGGCACAAAGTTCAATTCAAGAAAGGAAGACGTTGCCGGAGAGGTAATCGCTCAATTAACCTGTGCACCTGCGTTAACATTGCTCAGTTAAGTTGTTTTCCTGTGCGATTTTCTTGATTATCGTTCAAAAGCTTTTCTTGTTTTATCTTATTTGGATTGTGATGCAGGTTTTGGAGTTAAGTCTGAATTTTGCGAAAGTTAGAACTTCAGAGTTGGAATTCCTGTTTTTTATGTTTGGATTAGAAATTTGGATGTACAAAGATGGCCAGTCTAGATTATTAGCGGTGTAGCACGTGTTATGATAGCGTTGTTGAATCTGCTCGCTTTCGTTTCATTTTTGCTCAAACAAGATAGCTTATTTTAAAAAAAAAAAAAAATTTATAACTCGTGAATCCTTTTTATTTATTTTTGATCAATTTTCCAGAACTACTTGGGAATTCAAATATTCAGATTCTATTTCAAGTGCACAAAGTGCTCAGCTGAGATTACGTACAAAACAGATCCAAAGAATTCTGATTATGTTGTCGAATCTGGCGCAACACGGAATTTTGAGCCCTGGCGTGCAGAGGACGAGCAAGTTGAGAGTGAGAAGAGGAAAAGAGATTCTGAAGAAATGGGGGATGCTATGAAATCATTGGAGAATAGAACGTTGGACTCAAAACGAGAAATGGATATACTTGCTGCATTGGATGAAGTGAAGTCCATGAAGGTGATTTTTCTTCTTACTCATTACTGCTATCTGACCTATGCTAATACATATATTTCACAAAATACTTATATTCTTCTGTATAGGTGAGCGAAATGTAAATATACCTAAGCCTTCCCGGTACTAATCTTCTCTCTCTTTCCCTCTTTCTCCCTTTCCCCTATATTTTTCAGTCAAGACAAGCAAGTGTCAGCGTAGATGCAATGCTGGAAGTTCTGCAACGTGCAAATGAGGAGAAAGTAAGATTCTTATGCCAATGCCATTTGCTAGGACTCTAATGTATATATTGGTAACTGGTTCCTGCATGAGAAACCTATTACAGGATTTTTTTTTTTGGGGTCAATTTGGAGCTATCTGTTTAAGGTTGAACTTGTGATATCTCTGCTTTTAGACTTGTTAAACTGCTTCAAATAATTTGTCATGTCTAACATCAGTACTGGGTGAAATCCAAGAGAGGAAATCCATTTTCTTAGCTGTTTATTTTATTTTTTTGGGCATTTACATGACTAACAAGCATCAAGATGCAAATTTGGCAGAAGTTCATTATGACAAGAAGTTTGCATTGAGATTCAGTAGTTGGATAGCTTTATCAATGTCTAAATGTGCTTGGAAGTCAATCTTCTTTTTAATTTTTTGACTTTATAACTTGATAAATACTGCATATGTGATATCTATAGATTGTTATCAATGTGCTTGGAACAAAACCCTGAAAATTTCTCGTCCCGGGCACTTATTTCTGTTGATTTTGTACGCCCAAGTCATCAGAAATGTAGTTTTTCTCCTTCCCCTGTTTTGCAAATTTGTAATGTTTGAATCATGTTATTCTCTTCTTTTAAATTGGGTTGGTGAGGTTGGGTTAGAATATTTGCCAATTATATTTGTTAGAAGCATGGTTTTGAACAAAAACCTCTCTCTTCCCATCTCTCTCACGTGGATCCGCATGCGGACAGACACACAGAAGCACATACTTGAAATAAAGGTTTAAAGACAGATAGGATGGGGTTGATGTGATATATTAAGTTGCGAGTTGGATATAGAGTCAGTTCTAGATCATGTTGTGTGCACCTATATTGGGTCTTCATTGTTTCAATTAAGAATTTTTCACTGAATTATCAATTCTTGTGCTGATAGGAAAGGAAGCTGTTTGAAGAGGATGAAGCTCTCATAAGATCTATATTTAAGGTAAGGCATGCAATTGTGAAATCATCTTCTATTTTTGTAACTAAATTCTCATTGATGGTACTAAAATTTGACTTTAGGGATCAAGTGAAAGCTATGTGCGAAGGATTAATGATGATGACTTTGATGACGAGGAGGATGTAGCTTCTACAGTTGCTGCCAGTGAAGAAGCATCAAATTCTGTTTCAAAGGTGCAATTATCAACAGAGTGTTAATAAAATTTGCTGTTCTCTGCTGGTATATGTTAGTTGAGAAAATGTATTTAGGCCCTCTCCAGAAGTAGTGATACTGGCGAATTCAATGCAACCTTGAACTAACAGTGATGGGTAGGGGAAGGACTTGAATGTTGAGGGACCAAAGAGGTCTGAGAATTGATAAAGACAAGGATTTGCGTGTCCTCATGTTCAATCAGTTTGATGCAATTGCTATATTCTGGCCACTGCATTATAGGATAGGAAATTTTGTAGTTTTAGGATATGAGGACTGCTGGATTGAGTTAGGGTTTTCAATTTCAGGTTGTCTTAGTTTATCTTCATCAAGCAGTTGCAATCCTTAAAAGCTGTTTCCTTGATCTGTGATTTGAAAGCTTGTTATTGTCTAACTGCTTGCTTATCTTAACGAAAGATTATTTGTGTGTGTTTTTCATGATGTTAATTAGTGTTTATACTCTGTTTGAACAAGTCATTGGCTCTGTAACTTGGAGATTGACCATAACCAGTGTCTTTGAGATTAAGCTTAATTTTAGCTCTTTTATTGCAGAGGAAAAAACTGGATGAAGAACGACTGGGCAACCCAACGGATACATTGTCAGATGGCAGTGCACTTGATAAAGGTTAGTTAATCTATCTGCAGATTTTTCTGGAGATTTCAGCTTTTGATCACAAGTTTTTGTGATTATTTGTTACCTCTCACAGCTATAATCTTGGAATAGATGACAAGCAGTGCAGTGATATTAATTGTTGTCTCTTTCCAGAATGTTATGAGATGCTTCTCTGCTCTTTTCTATTTCCCCGATTGCTCTGTTTAGGATTTGATCTTGCTACTGCTGGTTCTCTAAAGTTTTACGTACCATAAATGAAGAGAGATAAATTATGCTCGTTTCTATCTAAGTTCAACTCTTTTCTTTCTTTGGACAAACTATTTCTTGCTTCAGATAGCAAATGATTTTTGTGATGTAATGAGTAATGGCTACAAAAGCCCTGGATTACCCCTTCTGAAGAAGAGACTAATAGTTGTCAAATAGTAAAGAACAAAAGAAGGGGATAGAATCTTTGTTCAAGTATCAGTTTCTTGTCTGTTTTAGCTTCCCTCCAGAAGTTTGTCTCCGTCTTTATTTGTTTTCTCTGGGCACTATTAGTTCATTGCATGATTTTGACAGATAAAGCTGGTGTTTCTGGGTCTTCAAATAATGGAAAATCCATTTTCAAGTCGCCATTAGTAAGAGTATCTATTGTGAAGAAGCCAGCTGCAGATTCAAATGGCAGCAAAGCAAATGAAGGGGAAGAGACCAACCAAAAGGCAGATCACAATCAGATTGTTAGAAGCACTGGCTTGCAATCATTATGCCAACTGTATCAGAGTGATGAAGATGATTAATGTATTAATGTAAAATCTTCATGTTGCATAAGTCGTTGATAACTGGGAAATGTTTTTAAAATAACCTTCAATCACTTTCAATGCGTATTTGCTTTCTTATTTATCTTCTTATGAGATCACTTTCTTATCATGAATGGTGTAATTCAATGGCCAAGCCAAAAAGCTTGTCAAGAATATCGGATTCAGAGGATTGAAATAAACAATACAAAAACTGTGAGATTCTGTCGGCTCATGTATCTTGCTAAAATGCTAAATTATGGTCTAGGATTTGTCTTTTTCAACCAACCTCTCTATACTTGTGCGTTCTGAGCTTAAGCAGCTTATACCGTATCAAATGCACAGGACAAGCATATCAGATTACCAACCTCAACAAACATTTGACTACAGTCGGGGTAATCAAATGCACTGGACAAGCATTTGCATTAACGATTTCTTGGACCGATGGTAATTACCGAATGCAAGTCCATCAATGGAAGAGACGTAAAAGTTTCATAGAACCCCAAATGTACGAGGTTGGGGTTGGGATCACTTCCAGCATAATGCTGAAGATGATAACAAAAGATCGATGTACTAGCCATTGTTATACATAAGCAATCACATTGAAAATGGTAAGCGTACCATTTTGCAGGTCAATACAACTTAACGATGGATGAGGGTTATCAAATAACCCTGCAAACCTCATTTCTGGCCCTTCTTTTTCCACAGGTCAAACATCCTCATTCCAGAACCTTTTCGTTTTCCACCTCCGAAAACATCATCAGTGTCATCAACCATGCCTGGAGAACCCAGGTAACCATGATATCCACCACCCTGTGCTTCAAAGACACTGCCAAAGTGCTTATCCATTGATCCACACCTATCTGATATCCTTCTACCATTCATTTCTACACCCCCAGATAGTACCGCTGCTGCAGCATCAGCTGCTTTCCTCCATTGTTCTGTTTGTACTCGAAGCTTCTTCATTTCGGCTTCTAACTCTTCTTTAGCTTTTTCAACAGCTTCCAGCTTCTCACTTATCCGAATAGAATTGTTCTTGCTTGCTTCTAGCTCCTTAGTAACTTCGTTCAGCCTAGTAGATATTTCCTCTTCCTTTGACTGAGCTGCTGATATCTCTAAAGATTTTTCCTTCAGCTGACATTTGAGGTTCTCATTTTCTTGGCAATCCACTGCTAATTCTTTTTCCTTCTCTTCTAACATGACTTTCAACATGTTTATTTCATCGTTTTTCAGAGCCAATTCATCAACTGAGGGCTTCTCTGGCTTCAAAATGGCTGGGAATTCTGTCGGTAGGACTTCAGTCCCGGGTTTGAGATCATCTTCATTGATTTGCTGGTTGACTTCAACATCAGGCTCGAAAGTTACCTTTTCAACTGGAACTTCAAACACATCAGTTTCCTGTTGGTTCTCCTCAGAAATTTCAAATGCCGCACTTCTGTTTCCCCTTCTGGACTCTTGGTCTTGCATTTGAGAGGAGTTTTTATCTTGAGCCTCTTCTGGCTCAGGAGCAATTGGTTTCCTAGTTTTTTTCTCAAGTTGTTCTTGAGCTGCTTTCTTTGCAGCCTCAGCTGAGACCAACTGCTCCTTGAGGTTCCTTAGCTCTTCCTGTGCTTGTCCAAGCTGAGATTCCAAGTCTGCAATTCTTGTTCCGAGTTTCTTTTGATTCAGTGGATCAGGCTGAGTACCTCTTGGAGATCGCCGATCGCCTCCAAGCTTAGGACTCCGGTCAGTTGTTGCTCGATGATGCAAGGGCTCAGAATCAGAGCTAGAGGTCCTCAGCTGAGATGGACGAGGAGATCGCCTTTGAGGCATTTCTGGTCCGCTGCCTCACATAATCGAAATCATTAGAAGCAAACTCAAGGAGATGAAAAGAGATGACTAAATGAGATGCATTATTTTAAGGAATTACCTTGATCGTGGCATTTCACCGATCTTGTGACGCGTCTTCCTGGAGAACTGATGAAAGTAGCTAACCTCTACAACGTTCTAACCTGCAGTATGTGGAAACAAGATCAGTATATTTGAAAAAATGGGTTAAATACTAAAGAGGAAAATATACAGTCTGTGAAGAGAAGAAACAAGGTGGAAGGATAAAATTAGCGTGAGGACTAGTTAGGGAGGCAATATCTGCTTATTTTGACAAGTTGCTAGCAAATGCAACACACAGGGACACTACTGCAGCATTTTGTAATTGCAACTTTAAAATCAAAACTACTTTCCAGAGATATGATTTTAGTAGGAAAAACAGCAATTAAGAGACAGAGGCACTCTTTGGAGTAAAATTGTCATGTAACATATAACAGCAGTAGTAACTCGGAGACATGGGCATCAAGAAAATTCTCATGCATTGACTATTAACAGACATTTAACATGAATGCCAGGAAACCAGTACTCTAATATTCTTCCCACTTCAATGATACTCAATGATGAAAATTTGCTTGAGATCCAGACCCACTGTACGTGGTTTGGGGGGGGGGGATAAAGAGAGAGGGAGAGGGAGAGAGATAGAGAGAAGGGAAGGAATTCAAAATAGAAACTCTATCAACACAGCAAGATTTCTGATGCATCTCTGTTCAAGAATAGTTTGACATTATGGAGAAGTGATCCGTGACTACAGGGCCTTAAGCAGAATATTTTTGGAGCTTTCTCAGATTAAGTTGATGACTATAGTATTCAATCTGCAATTTTAAGGAGAAAACATTCCCAAAGTATACAAATGCATCAACTCATCTTTGGTCAAGCTGATCTAGTCCTCCCACATTCTCCAAAAGTATGAAGCCAATTGTACCAAACGAAATTAAAGAGGGTAAGAATCAATTCAAAGAAGACACGCAACATAATAAGCTTGATGATTCCGAGAAGAAGAGTGTCTTTCAACAGATAAAAATTACTCAATTTCCAGTTTACTTTCAACATGCGCATATCTATGTGATCAAAAGTGGTGCATAAGCTGGTCTATGTTGTCTTCATGCCAAAATTAAAGATTTTTTATTATGTAGAAGTATGAATTTTATAGATCATCTCTGAGCTCTGGCATGTGACGAGCTTGTACAACAAATTCACAAAAATGGTAAAAGAAGCACATGGAGAATAGCAAACTACCAGGTACAAAACCACTAGTTGAAGGGAACCCCAAAAAAAAAAAAAAATTCAACAACAACAACTACTACTACTATTGAGCGCAAAGACAATAAATTAACACTTCTCAAACAGATTGAAAAGCATAATCATTGATCAGAATAGCAAGATCTGAAGATTACAGGAGACACTAAACATGTTAGATTTTGTAAAGATTTAATCCATAAAGTCATGCATTGAACATGCTAGACCTCGTCAAACAACACCAGAGAAGTTAAGCTGGATAATCAGATCCCAGAAAGGGCATCCAAGAAATCACAACAGGCATCCAGAATCTGAAATGTAATGTTCTCAAACTTCAATATTACCCCTTTCTTCAGCAATTAAAAGAAACAAAATAAACCCCAATGAACCTGGTCATAAACATCAACAAACATGCGGCATCAAGAACCAACTACAAAGGACATAAATCAGAACGATACCGTGAATATGTTGCTCTTCTAGTTGTGGATGAAGGAAGTGATAAAGGCAAGAATGTTCATCAAAATTTTGACACCTTTTACTGCTTTTATGCACCTAAAGAAATAAAAAAAAAAAAAAAGTAGAAAGAGCAGACAAAGATTCAGAAGTCTCCCCACAATCCCACATAAAAAGTGAAGAGAAAAGGCCTTAGCTTGAGGGCATTGAGTGGCATTTATAGATACATGGGACAATTGTTCTTGATACAAGAGAGAGCTCAGCTCAGGCGGTAAAAGTTGATAACCAAGGAAGAAAGGCTGCAGTGCATAGACATGCAGTCAGAAAGAAAGAGAGAGGAGAGAGACGTTTGAAGTTTGAAGTTTGAAATAAAGTCGTTGGTGCGTTTGTGGGGTACCGTGAATCACATAATTGCATGCCTTGATATTCATCCTCCATTCTCAAATTATAAAACCAAAAGATTAATTGGACTTTTTTTTTAAATAATAATATTTTTTTATAATGCATTAATCTTTTTGTGTACACAAAACTTGATGAATCAAAATTTCTTCACTGTAATTTTATAATTAACATATATCAATTATAAGACGGTAGACATAGCAAAACTTTGATCATCAATGATTTTCGTTTATGTATTTAGGGGTTAAAATCAATTAAATATTTGGGTAGTTTGATCTATAAGTTCAATTAAAGACGTGCAAATTAATGCTGAGCAAGATCTAGGTAAACTCACTTATAGATTAATATCGATCGAGATACGTAGCATAGTTTAGATTTTGCACGTGTCTACAATTTTAGAGGATGAGAAAGCTCACTCACTTAAATTTTTTTTTTCCCTTCCCTTTTTAGATAAGAAATTAGAATGTTACCAATTTAATTTAAGTAGACTCGAAATTTGGAGTACTAATAAAGAATCATTTTTTGTAGGTGAGGACTGAGGAGATCTTGAAAGGAGGAAGAGGCCAAGAGAGTAATTTTGAAGGTAATGCTATCATAAATTTATGTTCTTTTCGAACCTTTTTCTTGCTTCAATAAGAGACAGAGACAGAGACACTGAGGCCCTATGGATAACAGTGCGAATGCATTAATATATTGGTTTAGTGCATCAATAAATATCATTATTGTCAGCCTTGGAAGACCTCCAAACAAAAAGTCGTGGCTGTATTAAAAGGCCGGTTTCAGCTTTGAACAATCAGTTTACCAAAAGCAAATTCATGTCTCTTCTCCTTAGTTATTAGTTTGATAGATTTGCTTGCAACTTTTTTGCAGTACGACCCTTCATCTTCATCTCCATCTTCATCTTCTTCATCTTCCAAGAATAATGCATATATTATCTGTGTTATGCCGGGGATTGTGGAGGTGCATGGTGATAGAATATATATAAGTATTCAGAAACTCCAAAACTCCAATAGATTGTTTATGCAGTGATGATGAGTAGACAGACAATCAATTCTGAATCAATGAACTCTTGTGAATACATTTAATACATGTATGTACGAATATGAATACAAGAAATTAGCTGATTTTGAGCATTCAATGAAGTAGGACGGTAATCAAGGAGATAGGAAGATCTCCCATTCCCATCCATATCAAAAGGCCCTATTGCTGAATTTGCAAGTTGGAACATTTTCTTTGTTTCCCCCCCATCAAGGGCATACCTTACTATATACATCTCGATAAGACAGCTAGAAGTTTGATTGTACACATTGATGATTTTTCCACATTGCAAATACTACTGCTCTATCAATCAGTTTGGCTAATGTGCGGGTACTCGTTAACAGATATTTCAGGTATTAATTTTTGTGAAAAAAGTATAATTAAATCAAGAAAGTGTTTAAATATAGAGCAAAAACTCAATAATAATAATTGTGATCGTATATATTTTACATAATAAATTAGATTTAGAATTAGCGTATTAACAAGCGTCTGATGGGCACTCGTAAAAAAAAAAATCAATATTAAAATATCTTCAAGATAAGTTATAAATACATCAATTATCTGAGAAGTAGATCATCATGTTGCTCCTCCATAGGTAATATTAGTAAAGTTTACATATTTTATAAATAAGAATTGATCATACAAGTAATTATATAAAATTGCTCTTGAAAGACCTTTTTTTTTTTTTTTTTGGATGAAGCATGAAAGACTATTAGTATGTGATACCAACTCACTAACAAATCAATTCTTTCCACACAAAAAAAAAAAAATTTTTTTCCAATCATGTTGTCTTTTATTTTAATTCTTTCGCTTAATTCATGTTTTCAAAAGACCTTTTTACTTAAAGTTGACCTTTTTCAAGTACACAGTTCAGGTTGCCACAACAACAAAAAGCTAAACTCCAAATTACAGTTAGTGATCTATTCGAATTTTCAAAACCAAATCTTTGCTCAAGAAAATTTGAACTTGCTAACTCCCCTCTTTGTCTGCAATATTAAGCCTTATTCTACATCACCTGCTTCTGTATTATCGATTGTCATTTTTTTTTCTTACCAGCAAAAATATCATTCATACCCCCACCCCAGCAATTTAACATATATATAGAAACATCTAAAGTCTACTGGCCATCTAATCTGTACTTGTTTATTCACCGGCACGTCTAAGTTCTGATCAATCAAATCAAATGAACCAGTACGAGATAATTATCTTCTGATTGAATTGGAAAAAAAGAAAAACCAAAAGAAAAAAAAAACACACACACACACACACACTTTTATAGACTACGTCCACTCCTGTCCTGACAATAATGTAGAAATTTTACACGTATGAAGTAAATAGTAATAATCTCTAGCTAGTACTAGTAGCAGTATAATAAAATGTAACATCATTTATAAGGAAATCCTCCACATAAACTTCATGCAAATCATCTTAGTGGATCCAGAAAACTGCTGCAGCACTGAGATGGATACAACTCCTTGCCTATTCATGAGATCCACTATAATTTTCCTCATTGGATTCTTTCACAACAAAAAAAAAAAAAAAGGAAAAATTGACAACAAAAATCATGACAACATTGAATTGTGGTCCTAAATATCAATTAGTAAAAGGTCATGGGGCTGTGTGTGTGTGTGTTGTCCAGAGGTAAGACCGTGACATTGCCTACATTCACAATAAAGAAAAATATTTACGAACAATAAATTGTGACATTAAATGTGAAACCGAGAGACAGGTAGCTGGATTAGTTAATGTTTGGAGGAAAACATCGCATGTGAAAGCTTAAATGTGAATCTAACCACTCCAACAACGCTATTAGATATATACGTAGCCTATTGGTTGGTCGGTCATTGCCCGGTTACACCACAGAAGAAGATCCATCTCTTGGAGCACAGCATATTTATTGTACTCAAGATTAATTTGTGAGACTGGAATGTTGCCCCATTTCATATGCAATAAGGCCATTCTGGACGAGGAATTGGTACTTGATCATTGGACGCGATCATGTCATTATTGCATTTTTCAATTCTCAACATTAATTCCACGTATCAATGATCAGAAACCACAAATGATAGGGTTTACGGACATTTCCAGCCATTAGAGTGAAGCGTTGGTGCGTGCCAACCTAAAAAAAAGTATGTTAACAATATATATACACGAGAACAATATATATACAACAGCTCAACTCAAACAATTTAAGGGATTCAATCCCACCAAATATCTTGTTCGGTATTCCGCAATGCTTATCTTGAATTTGGTGTTGGCCCGGTAAACCAACAGGCCCAAGGTATAACTTAGAACAAAAATGTTTGGGCCGATTTCAGAGAAAGCCTACTTCACAGAAGGGCTGATATGCAAAAAGAAAATGCCCAACCTATTTTAAATAATCGAAAATGTGTCTTGCCAGCCTTCTCTGGACCGTCCCCACTCTTCATGGATTTGCAAATGTTTGATGAATAATTTCATATTTCTCTATTAAATAAATAAATAGATAAATAAATGTCATATTTCTTGTATCACTGCTGGTAAATGATTTTTCGTTTGATTTTCCTTAGATGTCAAGAGAAGAGCAAATTTTATTTATCTCCGAATAAACAAATTTTTGGTTGGGGCGGTAATGTTCCTTCAAAATTTCACCTCAACACAAACATATTTAAATACTGATTATTTGATTTGAATTTTTCCTTCATGAAGCTAGACAATAAGTGTCGCAAATAAACTACGTTCTGCGTTTTTCTCCCCACCCCAAAAACATGAAGGACCCAATGAGATGGGACTGGGCCACGGATAAAATGTAGAGTATGTCCTCCATTGCACGTAACCCGCCCGTGATACAGATGCTCCATTGTTTGGATTACAATTTCTTTTTAAAAAAAGTTCTTATGTTTCCGCAAGTACATTTCTCCATCATTTTTTTTTATCTTTTATGTATCAAATTATTATAGTTTATTTTTAAAAAAAAATCTAAAAATAGCAATCTAAATGTGCTAATAAAATCCGTTAGAGCTTGGTTAAAACTTAAAACCTCTTCACTTTACGTGACTGAAAATTTTAAAAAAAAAATTAAAATAAGTTTTTTTATTGGAGGGGGGAAAGAAAGTGGTGTACTACTACCTAATAAAATTTATGTAGTACAGATTTGACAGTACAGACATATTTTGCTTTGCGCCTCATGCTGATTGTGTAGTACATATCCAAATGGCATACAAATGGCTACATTATGCTAACGACCCCTGATAAGCTGTGACAGACCAATCTCAATTCTAAGGGAGTAGGGCAATGTTTGAAGAACATAATTGGAACAATTAATGGGCTCGTCCATTAGAGACTGCAAAGAAGGTAACTTCTCTACTGGTTTCTTTCTTTTCTTTGTTTAGAAAATTTCCAGAGGTGCATCATCCATGCATGGAACGAGTCAAATATTAAGTGGAAAAAGATCTGTAGTCCATAGCCTTCAGCCTTGAGGGGCTTCTTATCTTGTTCTTCATTTATCATCCCAAAGCATTTGTCGAAATTTTCACCTTCTTTTTCTCCTCTTAAATGCAAATTGGACCGAATAGCTTCACTAGTCCTTTTTCAGCCGTTGGCATCTCGCGAAAGTGAAATCCATCTGGAAATGCAGGAGTTGTATTTGTATTTGCATCGCCAGGGGCCAGGGCTAATCAGTAATGGCCTTATCGCTGACAAGCTGGATGCCTTATCTTTTGCTGGTTGGATGATGGGCTTTGTCCGTCAGAACTCGTGGTTGGCCAGAATGGCTGCGGGACCATAATATCTATCGTATCAAATCAAATGAAATCACTTTTTTCCTGCTCACCTCTGTTCCAGCCTTGAAACAACCAACCTTTGTCCTGATTACATTACACCTGGCTTTTAATAGAGTTGAATAACCACAACTATGTCCAAGTCCAAATACAAGAAAGAAAAACCATACCTGTCTATTATTTGGATAGAGAGGAACTTTTATCACATAGTAACACACCTGGCTTTCATTTTTTTTTCCCTTTTTGGGGTTTTCCAAATGTAGGGCCAAACTACAACCATTCAATTGATTTTAGTGACTAATTGGCTAGATAGTGTTGGTTTGTAGGCTCCACCTCAGATTGTGCTTTGCACCAGGATTTCGATGACCTCTGAGTGTTAATCTAACTTTGTTGTGTTATTTTCAGTAATTTCGATTGTTGAAAAAAAATTGATTTTAGTGGCAGCGATATTTTTGTTTCATTTTGGCGTAGATGTACACCATTCGACATTTAGATATTTCAATTTCCTACAAATTCCAAATGTATAATTCATTGGAGAGAAATTAGGTTTCTGTTAGCCATAATTAATTTGCAAGTATACAAACCAGCTAATCATCACGCCAAAAATTAGTTTTTTTATCATTGTAGATTTCAAATGCAAGGCTAAGCATAATAATTACTAATTAGTGTGTTTTTTTTCCCTTTTCAAGAATCCTCATTTATTATCTACCTATATAGTAAAAGCACGAATGGGTTTTCTGAGGATGGTGGATGTGGTGCTGATGTGTCTCCTTTTGGATTGCTTGTTTCCGTCGGAAAATATTGTCATATTCCGTGATCACATTTTCCTATCACATTTTTCCTTCACATATATCAAATCGCTACAGTATTTTTTCCATGAAAAATGACGGAAAATGCAATCCAAACACACCCTAACATTTTAGGTTTCACATTGAGTCAGTCGTCATCTAAGAGTTGCTATATGCACATCAAAGGCAATTAAGAAGTTCGATGCTACTGTCTCCTTGGAAGAAAAAAAAAGGCTGAATGGTTTTGTAGATGTGATTTCAATTTTCTGTGTTCCATATTAGTTCATAAGAATAACGGATAAGGATCACGTAAATTTGAAATGGTGAGAAGGGATAAGGATTAGCTAAACATGCATAGCAATTGGAAATCGAGAAAAGTTACCCATTTATTTGCTCACGCTTTCGCTTATTTAAAAGTTTAATCATTTTATAACGAAATAACTTAAATGCAATGCATCCAAATCATGATATCTCCACTTATGAATTTGGGTATTATTTGGGCAACATGAAATTAACACTGCGCGATGCGCGGTGATTCCCTCCTACTCATATTAAATTCTCGACAGGCATTTCTGACGATATCAAATTATTGGTCGGTCTTGGTCCCACAAGACTGCAATATATCCGAACCTGGTAAATTTGACCGATAGCTATTTAATGCAGAGTGAGAGAGCCAAGTTTGTCAAATATTTCGAATGGTAATAAATCTACAAGAACTTCATACAAGAACTTCAAAAGTAGGGAGGGGGAAAGGAATAGAGAATTCACTTATATAAAGTTATATTAATCTGTATCTGTCCTTATTCAACTTTTCTTTTAATTGTTCAAAGAAAATTTCAAGCATTATAAGTGAAAAGCGAAGAAAACAAGAATTTAAGATTCGAACCAAGAATTTCAAAGGCACTTAGATCATGTTACAAGAAGCAGTTGCACACGAGGAAGATGTTAGTATTTAAGTGGATGCTCACTATAACAAGAACGCCCTTAGAATTTTAAGAAAAAAATATAGATAGTCAAATTAAAAAATGTATAACAGCTCATATTATACACTTAACACTAAATTACACTTCCAAGAATTCAAGGGGAGATCCATGTCGTGGTCGTGAAACTTTGGGTAGGTTGGCATATTATTACCCTATTCCTATAAAGTAAATGTACATTAAAAAATAGGAGCCGGGGTCAAGCCCTTTTAACTTTCATTCCTATGAATCATTAGGCAACTTGAGCTAGAAACTAATCAATTCCTTTGTTGTTGATCAAGCTTTCACATGTGCTGCAGATATTATTATGTATTGATTGTGAAAGTGGGAGAATATAAAGTTCTGTCTTCACAAATTAATAAAGTTGCACATGGAATCAAAAGTGGTATACGAAAAAGTTGCATACGAAATGAAAGGTGGGATCGCACAAATTTAAGAAATCACCTCTTTCCTCAACACACAAAAAGCAAGGATCATTATTATTGTAGAATTCCCTTACTTTTTGTAACCTCTCCTATATTCTTTTTCAAAAAAAAAAAAAATACTCTCCTATATTTTGGTAAATTAAATGTATAGTCTATCTGACTACTTGAAATGGCGAATCGGAAGCTAACACTTGTAAGCCTTGCCAAACGTGGGAGTTGAGGATTACTTTTGTTTTCCTTTTGGATACGCACAGAAAAATTTAATTTTGATTGAGGAAGAATTGTCTTCTTCTTTTTTTTTTGAGTGGAGAAAGTTAGATAGATAGCGTCACAAGATCTTAAACTTTAATGTAAATTGAACTTTTCAAAAATAAAAACCAAAGGGGTGTTGTCAGAAAGGTATCAAGAAAACAAGAACCTGAAATATATTTTTATTAACTAGTAACAAGCACACCAGAAGCATTTTATTCATCACGCTGAAACATGCATGCATAGGTCAAAATCAAAGCATTCAATGAAATCCAATGCCAGATTTTTTCCCAGGGAGGAGAGAAAAAAAAAAAAAGTACTAGCAGGCGAATCAAGTAGCAACCTCAATCTTGATGCCATCAATGGTAAGAGCGGTATTTGGCACCAAAGTCACCAACAGGGCATCGTCGTCTTCGAACTCTAAGTCCTCCAAAATCTCAGTCAACTCAAAGGTTTGAGTAGTCTTAGCTTTCATGCCACTTTTAACCTTGTGTGGCAAATTTGCAAAGCTCCCAACGTACTCGGACTTAGCAAAATCGTTTGGATTATCATCTTCATCATTAATGAAAACATCAAACTTAACATACTTGTCCATGGAAAACTCGATCCCGTACACCACCAATCTCTCTTCCTCGTCCTCCTTTTGCCTCTTGCTTCTTGATAATTTGGGCCTCTTGACCAACACTTTCACGATCTTGTCAAGGGGTCCAGGGAAGACCTTATCGGCTGGTGGTGCCCCGGAAGTGAAAGCCACTCTAGATTTTCTCACGCGGGCCACAGGCTTATTCTTAAGCCAGGGAATATCCACCTTTTCGTAAATATATCCCATTCTATCATTACTAAAAGAATCACGAACTTTCACGCGGACAGGCTGAGCATTTTCATCGTAGAAAATGAAGGAAGAATTCAGCCAATCTGGATCGGGGACCTCCTTCCTTTTACCTCCCAATTGTTGCCAAATTGTCCACATCCGGTCCACATTTGCATGATGGCTATAGAACACAATATCTCTTCCAGCTGAGTAGAAATTACCCAAATCTTCACCATTTGGCTGCCTTGGATCGCCGACCCACCTGTGGATTGGAATATGGGGACTGGCCTCGATGGACCCTGCGCCAGCAAAGGCATTGGGCTCATCGCCGGCCCGGTATTCCTTTCCAAAGAAATCTCTGCCAGTGGTGGCATTAGTGACCATTTGACGGTACATGATCGCCAAATTGTTTTCTATCCTTTCTGTGCATGTTGCATCTCTATCCGTACCATTATACCCCAAGTCCACGACCGTTGGTGGCAGATGACTTTGGTTACGATTTTCGTTATACAATACTGACGATTGGTCCATAAATATGGACGGTATGGTCATGCCACCAATGTTGTCCCAGTTCCAAAAGGGCAGTCCAAAACTGGGATCGCCTATTAGCTTTCCCAAGATTCTTTCATAGAAGTACAAATACCATCTATGAAAAGGGAAGAATAACCACGAGTAATGGACTGAAATTTCTTGATCAGAGCCTGGTTGGACGTAGGCACCATTGCAATAAGCGCAATGAACATTTGCTTGTTGGGTAAAATTACGGGGATCATCAGCTGGCAGAGCTTTCATGAGCTCGACCGCCTTGTTAAGTTTTTCAATATAGTCTTTCTTGACCAAATGAGCAGCTGGCCTAAAACGGAACACCTTAGGTGGTGGAGGGAGTTTGTAGTCAATGACTTTTCCGGGCATCGGCGGACAGCAATTGTCAGTGACAACTGCTCCTGGAGGTAAGTCCGCCGGTGGACCGCATTTGGAGATTTCTGGGGCGGCTATAGGAGCTGCCATGGCAAAAGGGTTGATGATGAGGTTTGAGGCGCCATAAAGGCCACCCAACCCCAAAAGCACATCCCTCCTATCAGGATTGTTAACTTGTTCATGGCTTTCATTGTTTTTGCATGAAACCGTGAACTGATGATAGTTACGTTTGGCACTGAGGTAAAACTGTGATGGCTTGGTAGAGAAAGGGCAGGAGGACAGAGTAGAGGAGGAGGAGTAGGCAGTGGAGCTTTGAAGGGGAGTTGAAAGAGATGCCATTGGCGGCTTTTCTTTAGGGGGCTGTGGTAGCAAAGAAGCTAAGGGAAGCTCCTGTTCTTATACTGAAGCAATTGGCGACCCCGTGTCACTGACGTTAAACACGTGATTTTGGCTATCGGTGTTTTTCTTTTTCTTTTTTTTTTTGTAGGTTGGTAATTGGTGTTCATTGGGGGATGTAAACGAAGAAAGATGCAAAATCAGTCGCAAAGTCTATGATGACATGCATTAATTCAATAGGATCAATAACATTCTGCACAATTTGAAAGGGAATTGGAGTAAGTGCAATTGAGGTTTCATAAGGAAACAAAAAAGAACTAAAACATGATGTTTATGAAGGATAAATAGTAATATAATAAAATGTGGGACAGAGAATGACACAAAATATGAGACAAAAGATCCGTTACGCTTTCAATGGAGCTTCTAAATTCATCGTTCCCAACTCTCTCTCTCTCTCTTCCCCAATTTGTGGGAATGGCAACAGTAGTATCACATTAAACTATTAAAGACAGAAAGGGCCGACTTTGAAAACGAGGGCCCTTTCTTTCTTTTCCTGGTATTGAACCCTAAATGCATACACAGATATTGAATAACGTATACATAAATGATAGCACTGTGATATTGAATAAAACAACACAAAAGTCATTGGTATTAGATTGCTAGGATATTGCAGTAGTTAATTAAGACACGCAGGACAACATACTAAGAAAAAGATGAACTGCCGTACGTCCCAACATTAAGAAGAAGACCACAAGGCTGTTGCTACAATCTTTTTTTTTTTTCTTGGTTATTTTGGCTGTTGCTATAATTACTGTAACACTAATTATTTGTTTGTTCTATAATCCTATGGGACAAATTTCCATCCCAAGTCTCCTTCAATCTTCCTCATGGTGAAGTCTTTGTAGAGAAGGATGGTGCATGTGAATCCAGTGGCGGAGCCATGTGAAAGCAAGTGGAGTCAATTGATCCCACTTGATTTTGGAAAAATCTAGATTTAGAAAATTTAGAAAAATTTTAAAGTTCCATTTTATTTGAACTCACTAAATTTTAACAAATTCTTTTTTCTAAATATATATTGACCCCCAAATAATTGAAAATTCGTATTGTTACCATCACAATAATTCCCTTTGCCCTGCAATCCAGGTTAAATTTCCATGCCAAGTCTCCTTCAATCTTTCTCATGGCGAAGTCTTTGTGGAAAAAGATGTGGGCAGCCATGTTGGTGGTCATAAATTCGCAATCTGCTATTGTTTATCGATTTGTTACCAAGAAATGAATAGAAATCTGAAGATGACTTAATGCTCAAGGCAGCATGGGACAGACATATACAAAATATCCGCGAATGTATCTAAAATTCAGAGGGTGAAAATACCTAAAATATAGGAATAAAGAAATAAGATAATGATGGACTAAAATGAAAAAAGATAATGATAGACTAGTGAGAGATACAAGAATATGACTTTTCCTTCATTACCATTTTAGAGGAAAAAGATCGAGAAGGAATTCATCTTCTCCTAGCAAGAAGTATAAATGAATCTATCACGGAAATATCCATTGCTTCGTGAGGTATATTTAATTTGCAATACAGATAGTTTAGCCTTTCATTAACTTTTAAAGCCATTGATTTCACTTTGTGGATCCCCAAGTTGGTGAAGTTCATATTTCCTCAGCGTCTAAGCGATCAATTGATTTCAAGCCTTCGCGAAGGCTGCAATTTTGCTCAGGTATTTGAGTGCGCTGTCAAGAAATATGAGAGAAATGGATGTCTTGCTAAAGAGACGTAGTACAAACTGCATTCTAGTACGAAGTACAAACTGCATGAGACATGTGTAGTACCAATTGTCTATTTTCTTATAAGTTTTCCGTCTGTGTACGTAGTAGCGTAGTACAACCAAGTAGTACAAACAATTGAAAGATAAAAGGCCCCAAGGATCAACAAGCCTACTTAATTATACGGACATGCCAAGTTTGTACCGATTAGTGCTAATTCGAATGCGGGCTCTTAGGGAAGAACAAGTATCTTTTCGAAAGGAGAAAGGATGAGAATGATTCATTTGAAGATTATCAAAGTGTGTTGGTGTCTTTGGTGCAGAAACTAGAGAGTGGTGCTGTAACCGTTGGTGCTATTGAAACTCACCTTGCTCTTAAATTCGGATTTTTGGTTCTTTCTTTTCTTTCGAATTTTCTGTCGAGGTTCAAAATTTCTTGCAACTTTCTTTCCATTTCCAATATGCTGTAAAATGTAACAGCAGATGGTTTTCTATTTTAGTATGAGACTCTGTATTATGGTCACAGCACCTCTCTTTGGACCAAAGTCACCAACACATTTTCGTGATCGTCTGTCCTCCTCAAATTCTCTCAATTCCTCATCCATTCTAAAGTTGGAGGATGTTTTCTCTGTGTCCAGAACAAGCAGGTAAAATTTCCGAATTGCCATGTGTTAATTTGTTGCACGAATATATTGTTTACTTGCTTGGAACTGTCATTTGGAAGCAGAAAACAGGGAATGGACGAAAGAATTCAGGGGCGCAACGGATCTTCTGTCTCACACCCTGTACCACTCTTTATCTCATTTTTTATTATATTGCTATTTCTCCTACATAAACATCATATTTTAGTTCTTTTTTATTTCTTAAAGATCCAATAACTATTAATTGAGTAATACACAAAATTTAACAAACTTAAAATATTAAAAAATAAATACAGCAACTTCAATAACCATTAATTGACTAAAAAATAAATACAACTGCTTCAAAAAAGCAATATATATAATAGAAAATTAAAAAATACAGCAAAAAATTCATAAAAAATCTCATTTAATAGTTATTGAAAAATCATGATAACATTGAATTGTGGTCCTAAATATCAATTAGTAAAAGTCACGGGGCTGTGTGTGTTGTCCAGAGGTAAGACTGTGACATTGCCTACATTCACAATAAAGAAAAATATTTAAGAACAATAAATTGTGACATTAAATGTGAAACCGAGATAGGTAGCTGGATTAGTTAATGTTTGGAGGAAAACATCGCATGTGAAAGCTTAAATGTGAATCTAACCACTCCAACAACGAACTACTGGTTGGTCGGTCATTGCCCGGTTACACCACAGAAGATCCATCTCTAGTCTAATTCTTGGAGCACAGCATATTTATTGTACTCAAGATTAATTTGTGAGACTGGAATGTTGCCCCATTTCATATGCAATAAGGCCATTCTGGACGAGGAATTGGTATTTGATCATTGGATACGATCATGTCATTATTGTATTTTTCAATTCTCAATATTCCTTGTATCAATGATCAGAAACCACAAATGATAGGGTTTACGGACATTTCCAACCATTAGAGTGAAGCGTTGGTGCGTGCCAACCTAAAAGTATGTTAACAATATACACACGACAACGGGCTAGAAAATATTTTTGTTTTTTGAAAAACCCGCTTTAGGTAGATGCTTACCAACGTAGTATAAGATACCAGCTAGTTATTAAAACTCTCATATTTGCAATTAAATCAAGAAGATGTCTAGTAGTACAGCATTTGTAGTCTAGATATGGATTTCTCTTTCTCAAATTTTCTTGACCCAGTTGAGCTCTCCTTTAAAATATAAGTGGACGTGTGGGTAGTCAATGCGAATTGGGAAACAACTTCATGGTCACAACAATACTGCATAAAGAATGAAAAAACCTCTTTTTCACGTCCTTGAATATTGGTGCTATTACCTAACTTAGCTGGGCTGAGTTGGCCATCACGATGGGACTTAAGTCCCTCCATAGATATAAGTTGAAGGATCAAATTTTTTTGTTCATATTCTCATTTGAAAATTTCCTCGGCGGATGAACGGGCATTTGTTTGATCAGATAGTGATTTAGTCTTTTTGAATTCCTCATCAACTCAAAAAAAAAAAAATTGATGGCGATTCAATCCCACCAAATATCTTGTTCAGTATTACGCAATGCTCATCTCAAATTTGGTGTTGGCCCGGTGAACCAACAGGCCCAGAGTGTAACTTAGAACAAAAATGTTTGGGCCGATCTCAGAGAAAGCCTACATGAGAAAAGGGCTGAAATGCAGGAAGAAAATGCCCAACCTATTTTAAAATTATCTAAATTGTTTCGCCGGCCTTCTATGGCCCGTACCCAATCTTCATGGATTTGCAAATGTTTCATGGATAATTTCATATTTCTCTATTAAATAAATAAATATATAAATAAATGTCATATTTCTTGTATCACTACTGGCAAATGATTTTTTTGTTTGATTTTCCTTAGATGTCAAGAGTTGAGCAAATTTTATTTATCTCCAATTAAACAAATTTTTGGTTGGGGCGGCAATGTTCCTTCAAAATTTCACCTCAAAAAAACATATTTAAATACTGATTTTTTATTTGAATTTTTCCTTCATGAAGCTAGACAATAATTGTACAAAAAAACTGCGTTCTGTATTTTTCCTCCCCACCTCCAAAAACATGAAGGACCCAATGAGATGGGACTGGGCTACCGATAAAATGTAGAGTATGTCTTCCATTGCACGTAATCGGCCCGTGATACAGATGGTCTCAAAAAAGTTTTTATATTTTTCTTGAATACATTTCTGGATTGCTTTTTTATCTCTTATATATCATATCGTTACAATACATTTTTTTAAAAAAAAATTCTAAAAATAGCAATCCAAATGTGCTAATAAAATCTGTTAGAGCTTGGTTAAAACTTAAAACGGTTTCACTTAACGTGACTGAAATTTTTTTTTAAAAAAAATTTAAAATTAGGCTTTTTTTTTTGGGTGGGGGAATGAAAGTGGTGTACTACTACCTAATAAAATTTATGTAGTACAGATTTGAAAGTACAAACATATTTTGCTTTGCGCCTCATGCTGATTGTGTAGTACATATCCAAATGGCATATAAATGGCTGTGACAGATCAATCTCAATTCTGAGGGAGTAGGGCAATGTTTGAAGAACATAATTGGAACGATTAATGGGCTCGTCCATTAGAGACTGCAAAGAAGGTAACTTCTCTACTGGTTTCTTTCTTTTCTTTAGAAAATTTCCAGAGGTACATCATCCATGCATGGAACGAGTCAAATATTAAGTGGAAAAAGATCTATACTCCATAGCCTTCAGCCCTGAGGGGCTTCTTATTCTTTATTTATCATCCCAAAACATTTGTCGAAATTTTCACCTTCTTTTTCTCTTCTTAAATGCAAATTGGAATAGCTTTACTAGTCCTTTTTCAGCCGTTGGCATCTGGTGAAATCCATCTGGAAATGCAGGTGTTGTACGTGTTTTTTGTCTTTGTATTTGCATCGCCAGGGCTGATCAGTAATGGCCTTATCCTTTACTAGTTGGATGGATTTTATCCGTAAGAGCTCGTGGGTGGCCAGAATGGCTGCGGGACCAGAGTATCGTTGTCTGTACACGTGATAAATGAGATTATAAGGATGTAGCCATTCAAGTTTCAGAGTCAAGAACATGATACAATGAATTACTTTGGTTCTACGAATGCAAAAGGCAAAAGAAGAAGGAAAAAATAGTGAAAGGAAAGAGGGAAAAGGACAAGAATTGTAGAAATTGTTAAGGATATGTATATATTTTCTGGTTTGGCATAAAGATTTTAGTGTTACAAATAGATAATTAGAAGTAATATAAGGTTGAGATGATATGGCTACCTGATATTTGGGACTGGGAGGAGTAGTTAGCGATTGGATTGTTCTTTAGAAATCAAAGGGCCCGTAATGGAATCCTGGCCATTTGGTCCAGTGGTCATCACCATTAAAGGCGATGCTGGGGATCAGGGGTTCAATTTGTGGCGGTCTTAATTGACTTTCATCGATGGAGTCTGTACTCACATCGAACCCCCTCCCCTTCCCTTTAGATTAGGCTAGATTAGATTATAGGACATCTATGATTGCGACAAAAAAAAAAAAAAAAGTAATGAAACGCTACGTACAAGTGAAAACGAATCCAACCAGGTCCTTTTCCAGACAGAAAATATCTATCGTATCAAATGGAATCTAGCATACTCTCACTTTTCCTGCTCACCTCTATTCAAGCGTTGAAACAACTAACGTTTGTCTGCACAAAATAGGGGAAAAGTCTTAATCATGCCAACTCCCACGAGAACTAGAGCTACAATAGTCCCCCGCATATGACCGGTAGAAGACAGAAAAACTGACCGGTAGAGGAAAATCAACAGCCTCTGGTCATGGATTCCATTACACCTGTTTGATTGACATTGACCCCACTACTATGTCTAAGTCCAGATACAAGAAAGAAAAACCAATACCTATCTATTATTTGGATAGAGAGGAACGTTTTATAACATGGGAGCTTTTGTGCCTTTTTCAATCTCGTCGGTTTATTCTTTTTTCCTTTGGTAATTTCCTTTTCATATTTGTTCTTTTTGGGGTCTTCCAAATGTAGGGCCAAACTACAACCATTCAATTGATTTTAGTGGCAGTGACAGATGTACACCATTCGACATTCAGATATTTCAATTTTCTACAAATTCCAAATGTATAATTCATTGGAGAGAAATTAGGTTTCTGTTAACCATAATTAATTTGCAAGTATACAAACCAAAAATTAGTTTTTTTTATCATTGTAGATTTCACTTGGTCCCACAAGACTGCAATATATGCGAACCTCGTAAATTTGACCGATAGCTATTTAATGCAGAGTGAGAGAGCCAAGTTTGTCAAACATTTCGAATGGTACAAGAACTTCAAAAGTAGGGAGGGGGAAAGGAACAGAGAATTCACTTATATTATGATATATTAATCTTTATCTGTCCTTATTCAACTTTTCTTTTAATTGTTCAAAGAAAATTTCAAGCATTATAAGGGAAAAGCGAAGAAAACCGTTTAAGAAATTTATAAGGACTTTTCTGTCTTCACAAATTAATAAAGTTGCACATGAAATCAAAAGTGGTATACGAAATAGTTGCATATGAAATGAAATGTGGGATCGCACAAATTTAAGAAATCACCTCTTTCCTCAACACACAAAAAACAAGGATCATTATTGTAGAATTCCCTCACTTTTTGTAGCATCTCCTATATTCTTTTTTTTTTAAAAAAAAAAACTCTCCTATATTTTGCTAAATTAAATGTATAGTCTATCTCACTACCTTGAAATGGCGAATCGGAAGCTAACACTTGTAAGCTTTGCCAAACGTGGGAGTTGAGGATCACTTTTTGTTTTCCTTTTGGATACGAACAGAAAAATTTAATTTTGATTGAGGAAGAATTGTCTTTTTCTATTTCTTTTTTTTTCCTTTTTTTTTTTTTTGAGTGGAGAAAGTTAGATAGATAGCGTCATAAGATCTTAAACTTTAATGTAAATTAAACTTTTCAAAAAGAAAAACCAAAAGGGACGTTGTCAGATAGGTGGCAAGAAAACAAGAACCTGAAATATATTTTTATTAACTGGTGACAAGCACACCAGAAGTATTTTATTCATGGTGCTGAAACATGCATAGGTCAAAATCAAAGCATTCGATGAAATCTAATGCCAGATTTTTTCCCAGGGAGGAGATTAAAAAAAAAAAAAAAAAAAGTACTAGCAGGTGAATCAAGCAGCAACCTCAATCTTGATGCTATCAATGGTAAGAGCAGTTTTGGACTTTGGCACCAAAGTCACCAACAGGGCATCGTCTTCTTCAACATCTAAGTCCTCCAAAATCTCAGTCAACTCAAAGGTTTGAGTAGTCTTAACTTTCATGTCACCTTTAACCTTGTGTGGCAAATGTGCAAAGCTCCCAACATACTCGGACTTAGCAAAATCGTTTGGATTATCATCTTCATCATTAATGAAAACATCAAACTTAACATACTTGTCCATGGAAAACTCGATCCCGGACACCACCAATCTCTCTTCCTCCTCCTCCTTTTGCTTCTTGCTTCTTGATAATTTGGGCCTCTTGACCAACACTTTCACGGTCTTGTTAAGGGGTCCCGGGAATACCTTATCGGCTGGTGGTGCCCCGGAAGTGAAAGCCACTCTAGATTTTGTCACCCGGGCCACGGGCTTATTCTTAACCCAAGGAATATCCACCTTTTGGTAAATATATCCCATTTTATCATTGCTAAAACAATCACCAACTTTCACGCGGACAGGCTGAGCATTTTCATCGTAGAAAATGAAGGAAGAATTCAGCCAATCTGGATCGGCGACCTCCTTCCTTTTACCTCCCAATTGTTGCCAAATTGTCCACATCCGGTCCACATTTGCATGATGGCTATAGAACACAATATCTCTTCCAGCTGAGTAGAAATTACCCATATCTTCACCATTTGTCTGCCTTGGATCGCCGACCCACCTGTGGATTGGGATATGGGGAATGGCCTCGATGGACCCTGCACCAGGGCTGGGCGCATCGCCGGCCCGGTATTCCTTTCCAAAGAAATCTTTGGCAGTGGTGGAATTAGTGACCATTTGACGGTACATGATCGCCAAATTGTTTTTTATCCTTTCTATGTCTGTTGCATCTGTATCCGTACCATTATACCCCAAGTCCACGACTGTTGGTGGCAGATGACTTTGGTTACGATTTTGGTTATACAGTGCTGACGATTGGTCCTGAAATATGGACGGTAGGGTCATACCACCAATGTTGTCCCAGTTCCAAAAGGGCAGTCCAAAACTGGGATCGCCTATTAGCTTTCCCAAGATTCTTTCATAGAAGTACAAATACCATCTATGAAAAGGAAAGAATAGCCACGAGTTATGGACTTGAATTTCTTGATCAGAGCCTGATTGGACGTAGGCACCGTTGCAATAAGCGCAATGAACATTTGCTTGTTGGGTAAAATTACGGGGATCATCAGCTGGCAGAGCTTTCATGAGCTCGACCGCCTTGTTAAGTTTTTCAATGTAGTCTTTCTTGACCAAATGAGCAGCTGGCCTAAAACGGTTCACCTTAGGTGGTGGAGGGAGTTTGTAGTCAATGACTTTGCCGGGCACCGGCGGACAGCAATTGTCAGTGACAACTGCTCCTGAAGGTAAGTCCGCCGGTGGACCGCATTTGGTGATTTCTGGGGCGGCTATAGGAGCTGCCATGGCAAAAGGGTTGATGATGAGGTTTGAGGCGCCATAAAGGCCACCCAAGCCCAAAAGCACATCCCTCCTATCAAGATTGTTAACTTGTTCATGGCTTTCATTGTTTTTGCATGAAACCGTGAACTGATGATAGTTACGTTTGGCACTGAGGTAAAACTGTGATGGCTTGATAGAGAAAGGGCAGGAGGACAGAGTGGAGGAGGAGGAGTAGGCAGTGGAGCTTTGAAGGGGAGTTGAAAGAGATGCCATTGGCCGCTTTTCTTTAGGGGAATGTGGTAGCAAAGAAGCTAAGGGAAGCTCCTATTCTTATACTGAAGCAATTGGCGACCCCGTGTCACCGATGTTAAACACGTGATTGTGGCTAGTGGTGTTTTTCTTCTTCTTTTTTTTTTTTTTCTAGGTTGGTTATTGGTGTTCTTTGGTGGATGTAAATGAAGAAGGATGCAAGGTCAGTCGCAAAGTCTATGATGACTGCTGCATTAATTCAATAGGATCAATAACATTCTACACAATTTGAAGGGAATTGGAGCAAGTACAATTGAGGTTTGATACTTTTTGGGAGATCTTATTGGCACTTTAAAAAAAAAAAAAAAGAGAGTCCCCAGCATTCTATCCTCCATTCCGTCCCTTTTTTGTGCTCTTCCTGCAATCCATCCTCTCTATATGTTTTAAAGGGAGGATGGAGTGTTAGAAACTTTTTTGGAAGTGTTAATATCATTTTTCTGTTTTTTTATTAGATGTTGGTGTATGTTTATCAATGTAGTTTTATTCATATATTAAATTAATAATATTAGTGTATGTCAGATTGTGTAAAATATACACAATCAAATAATTGCATAGAAATCTTTAAAAGTCTTGGTGGTGCGGGAAATCAAGGGTTCGATCCTTGCCTCTCATCAAAAAATTATTATAATTTGTGACGATTTTAATTGGTCATATTCGATGGAGTCACATCGAGTCCCCCTCCCCCTCCTCCCTTAGATTAGACTATATTAGGTTCTAGAAATCCTATTGTTGCTACAAAAAAAAAAATTGCATAGAAACCTAAAAGCACCTGTCCAAACCCATTCGAGAATGATGGTCTAATTAATGCGGATAGTGGAGAGCAGAAAGAAATCTTTCGATAATGTATAAATGCATAAATGCTGAGTCTGGACAGCAGAACTCTACAAATGCATGGATAAGTTCGTGTGGTGTTATAGCCCATAGGATCCCTTTTTTCTCTTATCAATTATTTGGATTTACCTATTTTTCAAAAACAAATTTTTTAAATATAATATTATAGTAATATACAAACCAAAATAATTCAAAAAATATTTCATTTATACAATATATTAAATATTTCAAAAAACATTTATAATAAAAGTTTTTCATATACAATACTATAGTAAAATATTTCAAAAATACTTCCAAAAATAGTTAATCCAATGGAGCGTATGTTTTTTAATATGTTGTTGGAGAATAAAGGACCACAAGCAAAGTAATTATAGTGCTTTGAGTAATAGTAAAAAAATTCAATTCGCCAATTTTGTATTGTTTGGATTATTTTGATACAATATGATATTTTTCGTTCGAATTATTAAGTTAAAAACTTTTTCAATACCTTTGAGAAGAAAAGGAAAATAGATAATATAGTTTTGATATTTAAGTGCAATCTTTCGATCGAATATAAATGCGGTGAATAAAAAAGCAAAACTCGTTCAACGACGGTCTACTTGGATATTGTAGGTCTGCTTGGATTAGTTATTTTTTAGAATATTTTTGAAGTATTTTACTGTAGTAGTGTGTTTGAAAAACTTACTATAAAATGTTTTTTGTGATATTTTTGGAGGAAGTTTTGAAATATATTTTGAGATACCTTTTAAAATTAA